TTCTTCAGTTGAAACCTCTACTCCTTTTGTCTCTTCTTTACCTCCCGTGCTCATCATGGAGATAGATTCTTCTGAGGACATTCCTGAATCTGATTTAACAGATTTTGATGAGTCCCTAGCACTCTTGACTAAGTCATTTAGGAGGTTCGCCAGTAAAAGCAATTTCCGCAGATCTCCTCAGCTACCCCTCAGGGAGAAGCCAAAGTCTGAAAGAATGGACCAGGCTTCAGCTGTCTGCTACAACTGTCACCGGCCCAGACATTTTGCAGGTGATTGCAGATCCAAGACTTAGCCATTTCTGCAGTCTCTGGACCATTGCCTCTGGTCCAACCATTGCCTTTGGTCTTCCTCCAGACTTAGTCTTTTTTAGCAGCATTTTCAGATTTTCCATCCTTGGTCCCGATGACTTAGTCTCGGGACAGACGAATCCAGTACTTGCAATGCAATGGGTCAAAAACACTGAAAAAGTATTCAGGATTGTTTACGTACATGAGGAGGATAAAGTACGTTATGCTTCAACGACATTTACCAATCGTGCACTCACTTGGTGGAACGCCACATATCGATCAATGGATCCTAATACTAGGGATAGAATGACATGGGAAGTGTTTCAAGTGTTGTTCTTCTAACAATATTGTCTGGATGATTTGAAACAAAAGCTTGAGAAGGAATTCCTAGAGCTCAAACAGAGATTCATGTTGGTGATTGAATATGAAACCGAGTTCAATCGAAAGCTTCAGTTTGCCCAACGGTTCGTACCAAGTGAAAAGGACACGATTAATCATTTCGTCAACGGTCTTCGACGGAATATTCGCGAATTCGTCACCAATCGCGATGTACCATCATTTACCAAAGCAGTTGAGAATGCAAGGAAACGGGAGCATGACCTGAGTCTCCCTGATGGCTCTGATGTACCGGAGAAACGATCGAGAGTTGAGAGAACCCTCTCGTCCCCGACATCTAAATCATCTCGATTCTTCAAGTCGAGACGAGCTCAATCGCATAATACACCACATACTACCTCACAGGCTTATACAATGCAGTCAAATATGCCACAGAACTACAATCGATGTGGCAAGAATCACCAGGGATGATATAGTGGTGATCAAACTTATGTACGATGCTTCTGTTGTGGTGAAGCTGGGCACATACGAACTCAGTGCCCTCAAAGAGAAAAGGCATGTTA